ACCTTTTGAGTGCGAAGGTAGAATAGCTATCTAAGTTTCCACGTGAAACCTATACATCCGTAATTTGAAATTCTTATGAAATTTAACATTACAAAATTTACAATAAGGGGAAACAAAAGATACAGAAAATGAAAATAATGTCATTAAGAAATTTAGGAAAAAAAGAAAAGTAAAGAATAAGGGCGGGAAGAGAGAACATCGGTGCACGAAAATGAAAGAGAGAGAAATGGGAAAAGGGAAAAGCAATAAACAAAGGACGCGTGGGTTGTCCCCTTCTTCTTTTCCTATACAAAACTCACCCCTTCCCCCTCCCCATTTCCTTCAACTCTCCTCCCCCATTTCTTTCTCTCTCTCTCTCCCTCTTTCTCTCTCTACGTATTACTCATCCCCTCCGCCACCTACCGTCGTCGTAGCCGCCGCACTCACTACTCAGGTATTGTTTTACAACTCAACTTGTGCTCTCTTTTTCTCGTTTTGTTGCTCTGATTTTCAATTTTTTTTTTTGTTTACACGGAGATTCCTGAGAATCGAATTTGATATAGTTGAGTCACTTTTGAATTCATTCTGTCAAACGAGTATCATGTTACTACTAGCTTATGTGTATAGGTGTTTATGTACGGACACAAAAGCGTTGTTTTTGATTCACCTGATTTAGCATGTTTACACACAGAGAATCAGTTTCTGAAAAAGCTTTTAACCTGTTTCAGAATCTCATCGCCTCTTTTTTTCTTTTTCTGCAGTTTGCATCTATTAACAGAAGTACAATTCCTGAGAATCATTCCGAAATTTGTATCAGAAAATTGTTCCTTCTGATGGCGTCATCCTCTACCGTCTCGAATCCCGATGCTTACTCCAACCCTTCCCGAGAATCGAAGCGCAAAAAGAGAAGAAAAATTGGAGATAACGGCAAAAGTGAGCCACCCGCTAGCCTTGATCAATCGAGGTGGAGAACTCAAAACGAGCAGCAGATCTACTCTTCTAAACTTCTCCAGGCTCTCCGTCAAGTCCGCCGGAGTGATGACAGTCCGTCACCGGTTATAGCCGGACGCGCCGTCAGGGACACCGCCGACAGAGTCCTCGCCGTCACAGCGAAAGGAAGAAGTCGTTGGAGTAGAGCGATTCTCACTGGTCGGCTCAGCCTCAGGCTTAGCCAAATTAATAAGAAGCATAAGAAAGCTAAGGTGAACAGCAGCAATATAAAGTCGAAGAAACCGGCGGCGGCGAAGAAGCGATTACCGGCTTTGCAGCGGAAAGTCCGTGTTCTCGGCCGTTTAGTTCCCGGTTGTCAGAAAGTCCCGTTTCCGAACCTTCTAGAAGAAGCTACCGATTACATAGCAGCTTTAGAGATGCAAATCCGAGCCATGACTGTTCTGACCGGCCTCCTCACCGCCGGTGGAGCCGGATCAGTTGCATCTCACCCCGATCGGCTCGGCTAAGTGGCTCGTCACGATGCCGAGGTGTCTTTTTCCTTTTTTAAATTCTTTTTATTTTTTTCTAAACTCTTTTTTGTTAATAATTGAGAGTTTTTATATTGGTGTATTTTGTTGTATACATGTCCCCCCTCTTTATCCTCTCTTTTGCTCTCAAAACTTCTACCTCTCCTCCACTTTGTTAACCTTTTTTATTTTTATTTTTCTTTGAATGTTTTAGCATTTTACTTTTTGTTTCTCTTGATGTCTTGCTTATGAATTAAGATTATATATATTTGTTAATTAATTTATTCATTAATTATTGGTTGATTAAGTAGACATGCCAGCTAATATCTTTTGTAATCGAACAAACAATTGTTTGATTCCCTTTCAATTTATTTGTTAATAAATTCATTAACTAATAATTTAAATGTTTCAAGAAGTTCAAGGTGAGTAAATAGAAAAGATAAGGTATTGGGTAGACTCGCCATATAAGGCAATTATATTGGACGGGAAATTACCTTTTTTTACTCATGGAAATGGATGAAGGCCTAGCTAGTGCCGTCTTTTCTCTTTCACTAAGCATAGTTCTACGATTTAATCGATATAATTAGGTAACAATATTTGCTAATTATCGTGTATACAGAACTTAATTAGTGAATATTGAAATGAAATTGATATACGAATAGCAAGAATCGATTCTAACTGCTTTTAAGTAGTTTGGAATTTAGCGGATTTTTGTTCGCTACTGTATAAACTGATGATTCGTCTAATTTGATGGAACTATATAAAAATGTCAAAGTTCAGTTACAAAATTTGACTCATAATAGTCCCGAATGGACGGCCCAGTGGGTTTGGAGGAAGTTTTCCACACGGGAGACGCGGGTTCGATCCCCCCTCAGTGTCTTCTGGGTCTGAGCCTGTCGCACGGGGCTTGGCTAGTGCGGTTTACATCTCCCGTGTGGTTTGCAGGCTATTACACAATGGGGGGTTTACCCAGTGCTCACCACAGAGTGCTCACCCGAAGGGCAAAGGCTGTGACAAAGGCTGTAGTGGCTGCGAGTTTTCCTGGGATTCCAAAAAAAAATTTGACTCATAATAAAAGGACAGGGGATAGGGGTGGCTAAGGTTAACAAAACCCCACAAATGCACATGAGGGAAAGCTGGCAAGTGGGGGAGAAGGAGAATAGGCCAAAACAAGAGTCTACAAAAGCAAGAGAGATAGCCACACTTCCATGTGCTCCATTTTCAATCTCCTTTTAACTATCTTTTGCCCCCCCCTAGTCCCACCCACTATCTCAGCGCCCATGTGATATATATAAGTTAAAGCGTTGAAACACCTACTATTGCTAATCCCTATTTCCCAATTCCCCCTACCTTTATTTTCGGTAACGTGAATGCTTTCTATGTTAACTAGTACCATGCTAGTTTTCACTTGAACCCCTTTGAAGTTTGAATTGTGACACTTATGCCTTTGAGGTTTCTAAAAGTGATATCTGCCATCCTTTATGATAAAAGTCAAGAGATATTATTGGCAGATGCGGATCTAGAATTTAAGTTTTATGGGTTTAACATTTAAGGTATTAACACTGAACCCATTGTATTTTTAGAGTTATGAGTTCATATTGCAATATATTACAATATTAGTGAATTTTTACGTATAAATTTATATTCTGCTTCAAAAGTACCGAGTTCAGTTGAATCTCATGCCGATAAATTGCATCCGCCTCTGATTATTGGTGTAAAATAATAAATGGTAATCGATCCCTTTAATTTTGAACATCAACACTTACTCATGTTTAAAAAGCAACAAGCATAATTTTTCTCAAAAAAGATGAAATCTTAACACTACAAAGAAGTGTGTCAACCACCTTCTCAAACCTCAAGGGGCTCAACACTATTCCTAAATGAAGTAACTCCGCCCCTTATGCATGTTATATAGGGCAGAGCTAGGGGTTCAATTTCTAGAAGATTGCCCTAAATTTTCCTATTTAAGGACATGCCACATTAAGAGCAAATTTGGTAAGACCACTCTACAACAAGGAGTTAGGAGATAAGAGTAGATGATATATATCCCATCATAACTTGTCTCTTTAGCCTAACCAATCTGTTTAATTTCTTATAATGATTGAAAAATTATGAGAATCCAGGAAGACATTATTCTTTTATGGCACTATAAGGACACAACGCAATAAGAATGTGGAATAATTTGATAAATATCCTACCAGGTATAGTATGGTGTTAAAAAAACACTCTCTCCTTGTTAGTCATTGAAAATTCTTCCACCCTCTTCCTACTTATAGCATGTACACAAACTATTGTCTTCTCCATATTTATGTCCATTATCATTTTTATATAATACCCACTTTATGCGTATAGATGGAATGAATTAGGATAAATTTTCTCATACTTACTAGTTAATACCAGAACTCTTTTTTACATAAAAGTAAATCAATAATAATTACATAATACGGAATTAAGGGAAGCTATATGCAAATTTTCCTAAATAAAATCCTCTCTTAACGCAGACTTTTTTTTTTCTTTCCATTTTCTCCATCAATTGACTCTCATCCTCCCTTTACCCAATTCATTACATCTAAATGTCCTACCATACAAGTGGAATTTGAAGCTAATATTTGAGGATTACCCGGAAATCGTCATCGCACTTGCAATATTTATGATTTTCTATGAAATAAAAGTATATTTACAAACTAATATATGTTACTAGACTGTATTTGTAAAATAATTCTGGAAATATAAATGAGTATAAACAGAAATGAACATAAACAGAAATGACATAAAACCAATTCGAGCCTACTGAATTCACAGTGTTTCCTTAAGGAATTTAATCCCCTCCTAGTACCCAAGGTTATGGATTATTTCCTCCCAGGATAGAACGAATTACACACTGGTGTAGTGGTACTTCAAACCCCAGTGTTTCAGCGAACACAAAGTTCGGTAGCAAATCACACTTACTTTTTGCTTTGTTTGATGCTAAAAGTATGCAGAAGAAGGAGAAGAAACTCAGAAAATCGTAGTGAAATTCTGAGCAGAATAGTGTTGTATTTATAGCCAAAGTTAGGCTGAAATCTGAAGAAGTGCAACTCTTCAAAATGGCTGTTTATGCAAAACGCCCACAGCATAAATGCCATTACATAAATGGCCATTTACTCAATAATAAAGAGGGAAAATAAAGAGGGAAAATTGAAGAGGGTAGTTACTTTTCTGTTACCAAAACAGAAAAACGGATTGGATTTAATATTAATATTTTGTTATTAAAACAAATATTTAATAACATTTCTGTTAATATTTTACTATTAACAAATAAATTTGGTCCAAAAAGTTAATCAATCAATCGATCATTTGACCAAATCCGAATCCGAAGCCGAGCTGAGCGACGACGACGACGCGAGGCTTGCCTTCTTCTCAACTCTTTAAGAGCTAGAAGAAGAGCAATTGCTTATATACCCATAAAAAACATCTTCCTCTTCCAATATGGGACAGTGCCCATTTGCCAAGGGGAACTTAAAATTTCACTCAAAAATTTTATTTCCCTCCATTTCCCATTCACCCTCTTTTAAGTATTTAATATATTAATTAAACACATCCAAAACCCAACAAACTTATCATGATCAGTTGAATATCATGAATCTGTTACAAAACTTATGATGGTCAGGTCAATAAACAAGCAATTGTGTGTTTCTTTGTTCCCGTAGGCCCGGAGCTGATGAGCATCGACTGGAAGCAACTGATACAAGCAAAGCACCCTGAAGATCTACAGATACTCCTCTTCTGATGAGTGTTATGATGTAGGTCATGAAGACGGCATCACATGGTAATGTAATAGGGCCATCAGTTGGGAGTCCAAACTCATCTTCAGACATGTTCAGTAGTTGTATGATTACCTCATTTTGTAGATAAGCCAAAGGAACCACAAAGCGCTTCTCATCAGCTGAATAGACCACAAAATGCCCTTTGTCAACTACTGAGGATGATGTGCTACAACTATCAGCATCATGGTCATTGGATCTTGAAAAAGTAATTCTCTTCCTCTGCATTGCTGCAAACTTCTGCCATTTCTTGGCCATCTTGATGAGTTTCTTAGCACTGAGCATTATTTTCTTTTTTTGGAAGATTTAAATAAAATAGACAGTAGACTAGATAACTGAGAACTTTAAAGGAAACTGATAGTGTTTGTCTTTGATATGTAAAGAGTTTTTTATATATAAGAGGCTGGAGATAGGCTCTGAGTTGCAGCTGAAGCTTTTGCAACTAATCACCAGACAAAGCAACGTGGTAATGCCTGTTGGTAATGTTGATATGGGGACTTTTAGAGTGTGGATATAGTTTGAAGCATAGATAATGACAGGTTTTTTCTTGTATTCTCTTTGGTAGACAGAAAACATTACTTAATTATACATGAGAGTCTCACCATTGCCAGCACATGGTTTTTTCTTTCACCAGCAAAACATAATCTACCACTGAAAAGTCATAACTATTTAAAGGTCCTACATATTGAGTTGATATCATAACTAATATGTCTATTCTGTTGTTATCGGCCAAAGAAAAGAAAGGAAGAAACTTATCATCTTTCGAACATTTCAAACTACCTTCATTCACAAATTTAAGGTCCCATATCGACATGGTCAAAGGCATCAGAACATGGCTTTGCCTATGGTGGTTAGTGTCAAAGACTTCAGCTCCAACTCAAAATCTGTCTCCACTTGTATAAATAATCCCCATTCCATGAGCATTTTCATCATCAACTGCAGCATTATCTACTCAGCTATCAAAGGTCTCTAGATTTCTTCTTTACTTTCTTGTTCCCAATCTTCCAGAGAAAAAACAATGCTAAGTGCTAAGAAACTCATCAAAATGGCCAGGAGATGGCAGAACTTTGCGGCCATGCAGAGGAAGAGGATTTCACTTCCAAGAAATGAAAATGATGTAGATGGTTGTAGTACATCTTCATCCTTTATAGCCGGAAAAGGCCAGTTTGTAGTTTATACAACTGACCAAAGGCGCTTTGTCATTCCCTTGGCTTACCTGGAAAATGAGGTCATTTTGCAACTTTTAAACATGTCCGAAGAAGAGTTCGGGCTTCCAAGTGGAGGCCCTATTACATTACCTTGTGATTCAGCATTCATGGACTACATCATTTCACTAATCAAGAAAGGTGCAGCTGCTGGAGATCTTCGTAATGCATTGCTCCTCTCAATTAATTCATCTTGCTGTTCAACTTCTTTGCACCAAGATTGGGGAAAGCAGCAGCTGCTTGTTTATTAGTCTTGATCATTATCTTTAGTAAATAATAGCTCCAAATAGATTGTATAGCAGGTGAAAAAGTAGGCAATTGAAAGTGTGTATTACAGATGGAATACAACTATATCTGAATTTTGACCAGATTTATACCTTTCATTCCATTTTCAGTTTGGTAATTGAGATTCTCATCTTGGTGTGGCAATATTTACAGGAAACACTGTATTTTTTTTATCCAATTAGTCAACTTTGTCATCAAAACATACAGATATACGGATCATGCCCATGCAAGTCTTAATGACATGAAACTTAATTCTAAAGAGTTCAAATGAAGTAAAACCATAAAAGTGTTCTGCTTCCACTGCTATTAAATCTCATACTTGATCGATTTAGATCGATGATTGTAAAGTACAGAGACAATAGAGAAATCTCTCTTGTGTTGTGTTAGAATAGTCATGTAATTAGGAGTAAATAACCCAAATCCAATATGTATTAGGAGTAGGATATGTTATGTGTGTATATAGGGCTCATTGTATCGTGTTAAACACAAGTCAATATTAATCAATAATATTTTCTCCCGTGCATTATCATATGGTATCAGAGCTTTAGTGAGAAACATATCGCTGTGCATCATTCCAGCGACTTCCGGAAAGAAAGACCTCGTCGCCGTGCAATTTTCCGGCGACTTAGAAGGCTGCCCGTAATCACATTAATTTCTGTTGGTGTTTTCAGAAAACCAACACCACCACAAGACTCCTCGGGCTCCAGCGACCAAACCCCAGTAAACCCCACCGGAAAAATCAAGTTCACGCGCCCTCACGCGCCAGAAAATCACCGGCGAGATCTGACCCACGCGCTCCACGCGCCGGCGCGTGAACATTGTTCCGGCCATTTTTTGAGAAACTTCCAGTTGGACAGTCGGATCGCCTAGTGATTCCGAGTCTGTCCATACCTTTTTCGTTCGATTCCGAGCACTTTGAGTTTTTCCGGCGACTACACTGACTTTTTCCGGCAGCTACAGTAATTTCCCAGCAAAAACAGTGTTTCCTTCATCTGTTTCAGCGAGTTGTCAGTTGATTTTTTTTCTGTTATTTGGTGATAATCCAACGATGTCTTTGGGAGTCGATGCTTTCGGGTCTAGAAACCCGGGTTCTGGCAGTTCCGGTGTTTTGATTACTTCAGAACCTTTAATGGGAGGTTCAAACTACTTAGCTTGGGCTTCGTCTGTCGAGTTGTGGTGTAAAGGTCAAGGAGTTCAAGATCATTTAACAAAAAAAGCTAGCGAAGGTGATGAAAAGGCCAAAACACTGTGGGAGAAGGTCGATGCTCAGTTATGTAGTATCCTGTGGCGATCTATTGATTCCAAGTTGATGCCTTTGTTCCGTCCATTCCAGACATGTTATTTAGTTTGGGAAAAGGCTCGTAATTTATACACTAATGACATATCTCGTTTCTATGATGTAATATCGCGAATGACAAGCTTGAAGAAATAGGAATTGGATATGTCTACTTACTTGGGACAAGTACAGGCAGTCATGAAAGAATTTGAGACGTTGATGCCAGTTTCTGCTAGTATTGAAAAGCAACAAGAGCAACGACAGAAGATGTTTCTAGTTCTTACACTAGCTGGACTTCCTAATGACCTTGATTCAGTACGTGACCAGATTTTGGCTAGTCCGGCTGTCCCCACAGTTGATGAATTATTCTCTCGATTACTTCGCCTTGCTGCAGCACCAAGTCACCCAGTGAGCTCATCACAGACACTTGACTCATCTGTCCTCGTATCCCAGTCAGTGGACAATCGGGCATCTCATACTATGGAGAATAGACGAGGAGGAGGTCGTTTTGGAAGATCTAGACCCAAGTGCTCTTATTGTCATAAACTTGGACACACTCGTGACGTGTGCTATTCTTTACATGGCCGCCCACCCAAAAATGCTTATGTTGCTCAGACTGAGACTACAGGTAACCAGGGATTTTCTTTATCTGAAGGGGAGTATAATGAGTTCCTTCAGTATCGAGCAAGTAAGCAGACATCTCAACAAGTAGCTTCTGTCGCTCAGACTGATACTTCTGTTGCTGGTAATTCTTTTGCTTGTGTTTCCCAGTCTAGTCTCTTGCAATGGGTTGTGG